TCCTTTCCCGTCACCTTTGCCTTAACAGGAATATCTTTCTTATCTGTCTATTATTTGTGTGGAGTTTTCTGCTGAGGAAATCCATAACCTTCCAGACTCTGTAATATGCTTATCTTTCCAGTTCTTTAGTTCTAGACACCAGCACTAATGATGGGCTCCGTCCTTTGCACACAGATGTCCATAAAGTAAAGAGCTCCAGCACAGCTGACTGGGAGGTTACCATGACAAGCAGCCATACATAGCTGTCTGCACTGTACTGCTGCTAAGCGAAGTCTCCACATGCAGCTTCCTTGCTCTAGCTCAAAATGCTACACTGCTCTTCCTAGACCATCATCCTTGCTGGCCTCTTGCTGCTCCTGGCACACACATGCATCTAGAAAGCAGAGCAGGGTCCAAGCATGCTCATATTTCATGTATAACTGGAATGCTTTAGCTGAATGAGCCAGGTCCTCCTTGGAGAGAACAGGAGTTTTGCCAGGATCTGGCACTGACAAAACCTTCCATAATTTTTACTGTGTTTACTAGCAGTTTGTCGTCCTTCAGATAGGTATCATTCCTTTTGTAAATATTTCCAGCTCAACTGCTGCCAAAGATTTTCTGGAACTCCAGCATCCCATCCTCATAACCCTTCCTGTACTCCCACGAGTATCTGAGAAGCTACAGGGCAGCCCAAACTGAGCAGCCAGGATGTTTTTTTTTCCAGCCTAGAATGGTCCTGAAACTCCAATTTGCATCTCCTTCCATCATTTCAATCCTTCAAATATATTTTCCCAAATTACACTTGCCAGGATTACAGAGGAAGAATTTTTCTCTCCTTGCCAGAGATACAAGGATGGCTGTCGCAGTAATGGCAGCAGTTTCCTGATAACATGATATGTGATACCGATAAATGCTTCAGAAATGATGTATTTTACAATGTGACTACTGCAATTTTTTCTCTCCCACACAAGGATTAATTGCTGCCCTGCAGCTTCCACATGCTGATTTGCCCCACAGCTGGAGCACAAGGCAGGGATCACGTCCTGCCCACACTTCAGACCAGTCCTATCCAGGCAACATTCAGGGCCCCAAAGTCCTTCACACAAGAACTGTTTTCCTATCCAGAATCCCCTTTAAATTTGGATCACATTAAAATGACAATTGCCTACACTTGTATAGTATACGCAGCATGCTGCTCTTCTGCAACGCTTTATTTCTAAAAGCCATTGTGGCTCCTTTTAAATTAAACATCTTTCAAACAATTCAGCCTAAAATACTGGATTGATGTCCACAAAAAACAAACACCTCTTTAAAGTTCTACAGAAATAATTTTTGAATGAGACGTCAGTGCTAAATATCTGAAAGCATAAACGTTTTCTAAAGCCTATTACAAAACAGCTCGGGTAGAAAGGTCTGAACAGCAACAGCTTAATCTGGCCCATGCATCACACCTCCCTTCTGGAGCAGGCACAGCTCTACTAATTACAGCCTCCAAGAGATGATAATTATGGGAGCAGACAGGTACCCCAGGCAGCACCACGACATTTCGTTCAGCCGCGTGCTTTCCCTGGCAGTTGTGCCTCGGTGGCAACCTTGCTCCGACCTTCCCAACAGGGAGTGCAGCTCGGCGATGACTGAGGCATCCAGTAATTCTGCTGTCAAGATGGGACACAGCAAGACGGACCGATTCCCTGTGCGCTATAACAAATCCGCTAAAGAAAGGAATGCCTTCAGCTGCAGTTTCACACTCTGCAATTGGTTTCAGTATAAAACAGAATTTCACTTGTAAAAAGCTTAATCTGGAACAGAAGCGCTGATGCTTAACCTCAGAGTGCTAAATTCTCCCCTGTGCCTTTTGAGAAATAATGGAAGCTTCTGTCCTGCATGTAAGGCCTCCCCCCCATCCTTTATGAAACACAAAATACTCCAGGCAGCGCTTTCAAATAAGCTGGTTCAATTACTGAAAAATTACCTTTTACCTGTTCAACTGAGCTGAGAAAACACAACTTACAAAGAATTCAATTATGTTTTCACACACGCAGCAATGAATGTGCTCTGCAGAAATATGTCAGACTGAATATTCATATACTTATTTCCAGTGATCTGAATTTCACTGCAGCAGTTGGTGAGGGTGAAGGCTTTCATCAGTGGGTGAAGCATGCCCTTTGTCTAAATGCTGTACAACATGTGGCAATTACAAGCAAAACATCTGATACAACTACCAGTGAACTACCATGTCCCAAGTTTTACTTTTCTATGTTGAAAGACATCTAAAGTTTGTATAAAAACATCCATTAAATTCCCTTTAGTTCCCCTGTCTCTGTGTGCTTTTGCTGACCAGTTCTCAATATTTCATTGATTTATTGCATAGCCCAGTCCCTACTTTATCTGAGCTTACTGTGAGGAAGAAATGGGAACAACAGTTCCTGCATCTTCACCTGCACTCCAAACCCCCATGAGCTTCCAGTGGAAACAAATGAAGCAAAAGAGCAAAAGCAACCATGGTAGAAACTGCACAGACTTCAGTGACTGTTTCATTTGCTAGTAATTCAGTTAAAGTAGCATTTGCTTGCACAGATCTGCATGAGATGATGGAATACTATGGGTACCAGTGAAGAAGTCTTAATTACCAATGGATGAGGCAGGCCTTCAGCCTGCGAGTGGAGCACCCTGCCTACCTAACCCCATTCCTCTTGTTGTTGCGATGGCTTCCACTCCTCCTGGCAAGGAAAGTATGTTAGAAACAGCTGCTATTCCTCCTTCTGCTGCTTTCCCTCAGTGGGAGGATGGCAGGAATAGTTGCCAGCAAGGCAACGGCTCAACTGATGCCAGCTATTTTTACACAAGAGCACAGTCTTGCAGGCTGCTGCTGCCCACCTGCTCAGAAATCTAGCTGAGCACTTTGCAGGATAAGGACCCGTGATGCTGCCTTTTGCACCACAAATTGCCTCCAAGGTAACTAATACTTTAAACACTTCAATTTTGTTCAGCTGAAGTGCAATAAAAGACTTAATCCAACTACTAATGAGATCCTGAGGTGCAGTTCCACTGTAATCAGCACTGGAAGTTACATCAGGTCCAAATGTGACATTTTCAAGCACAGGTACCTGGAAATAAGGATGCAGCTCTCCAGTCATTTTAAGCTACTATTAAGCTACTATTATCTGTTTTTTTTTTTTTTGAGCTGTCATCCGATGAAAGTCTTGCCCTCTCCTTTGTACTGCATTTCCACTCACATGAGGTGGGTCGAGCGGCAGATCTGGCTGAAAATTCACCTTATGGCTGAGTTACTTTTAATCTGGAGTTTTCTAGTGTCATCTACTGTGTAGCTGTATAAAACCATATGGCAACAAAAAGGAGGTGGTGAAGGAGACAGGGCAGGGGCTCTTTCAGCAACAAGCACCATATTTTTGTTTTAGAAGCATTTTTACAGTTCTTACCCCAAACTGCCTACCCAGAAAAATGACATCTAACCCCAAGCAACAAGAAAACAATCAGTTACGAAATGCGAGCTACTGTAACTTCCCTTTGAAGTATTTAAGAACACTGCATTATACAAAAGATCACTGGTATTCCACTGCAAAAAATGAAATAAAACTAAGAAAATTTCAAAATTTTGAATACTTTCGCTTTTGCTTCTCCCAGTACAAAAAACTCATACCATGATATTCAATTTTCACAATTGCTTTACAGTCAGTTAAAAGACAAAGTTCAATTTCTTGCACCCGTTGTGGCATTCACAGCCAACCAGCAAAAAACCACAGGAATTAACCAAATCAGCATGAAACCTGTCTCCACATTGCATCCAGTCCCCTTGCTTATTGCAATACCACCCAACTGAATCCAAAACCTATTATCAGTGGACTCATTTTGAAATAAAACTTTAACAGAGGACTTGTTGCTGTGTCATTCTCCAAAGGACTTCCCTGCAGCAGTATGCCTTCCCTAAAAAATGTCATTATTAATGGAATTAATTTCTTACAGAGGTTTACAAGTCAGGTCAGTTACTAGAGCAATTATCATCAAATCCCAGCCAGCATATTATCAGTCAGAGCTGATATGTGAACCCAACAGATAATAACTATCCTAGAAATGTCCTAGAGTAATGAGGATACACATAAAAAAGCAGATCTTCATTCATGCTCAACATTGATATATAATGGCAAATTCACCCCTTGCTTCCCAAATATAAGCCATCTCTATTTCCCAGCTAGCTAGCCAGCACAATGAGCATTAAGAGCATCAGTCATCAGCAGAAGTATGCTTACATATGTCAGTAGATCGATTCACCACTAACATCTGCCTCAAAAAAAGTTTTGTTTGGCAGTTCTTACTGCCTTCCCACCTGGGAAATGAAAATATCCACATGTCACTATGTACAAGACTGCTTCTCATATGTAAAAGAATTCTAATTTTACATCTTCAGCTGACTGCTAACTGCACAAGATTCTCAATTTACTATTATGTTAATAACCCCAGTCCTTACAATGTTAAGGGATATGAGCACATGAGAGGAGGAGATCAAGAAAAGCCCACTCAAATGAGAAAAGTGATAAGAGGAGAAAGAAACCACACAACACCCCAATGTCAGACCCATCCACCAAGGCCCTAGCAGAAGAGAGGAGCTTTGCACTGTGAATGGAAAGAACAAACTTGAGCTATGGTGAATGGCAGATGGGAACCAGTTTCATAACCAGAGACCTACTGTGGAATATGCTTGAGTATACATGGACAAAGAAACGTAACTTGTGGGTAATTCTAGATGCATCTAGTCAGTGCATGTATATATATATACATTATGAAAATATTTGCATTTGGTACTTGTTAGAAAGCTTTCATTATGAACTCCAAACAAATATTAGTTTGGAGCAAAGAGCACATTAATAGGACATAAACATTTCAGCAGGATGGCAATATTTGATGAAATATGAGAAAACATATTCTAAAAGTCTTTAGACAAAACGCTTTTTTTCTTGAGACTGAACAGAATACTTGGTATCAATTGCAAAATTTTTACTTACCTTCTCAACCGGGGTATTTTCTTCACTTGTTACACTTGCTTTTCTTGATTCATTTTTTGTTCTGCTCAGCCTCCGGGAGACCTTCTCTCTAAGCAAAGTGGCATATCCAATGTGTTCATAGATGGGATTTGTTGTCATTTTGGAAATATACTCAGAAGCCTTTGTTTCTATATACAATGTTATCAAGCCATCTGTTACTAGATCATGGATTGATTCAAATCTTTTCTCCCCAACGAAGTGCTTCCCATCATAGAACAACCTGTAGTTTAAGGTCTGATTGCCAAATCTGCAGATACCAGAAGAAAAGGAGGAAGAGGACAAAAAGACAGAGGGAAGAATGTTAGAGGGAATTCACACTTCAAAACACTTGAAGAGATTATTTTGCTGACAAGTTGAACTGTATGGACTGCAAATGGAACACGCACATGGTGCAAATGCATCTCTGTGGTGCCCCAACTCAAATCAGAACCCAAACCTAACTGCACCCCATGGAGTAGGATACAAACCACACGACTCAGGTATACATGGATTGAATATAAATCCTGAAGGGCCTACAAAAGCCAAGAGAAAGGCATGTTGTCACTGACATGACCTTATGTGGGATGCATAATTGTGTTGAGGGCTGGTTTGCCCTGAAATGTTTCTGAGGTCCAGAAACTGGAGAATTTTAACAATCGTGGCCATTATTTACAGCCACTGAAAAGATGGGCACTTTTAGCAAGCAACTTAAACTCAAAGGTTTGAGCCACTCTCTGGTAGGAAGCCAGAGAGACTGCGCTCCTAATTTCAGGAGGTGTAAACTATGTGTAAATTCATGGCAGGTGTAAACTTTTTTTTTTTTTTTTTTTTTTTTTTTAAATAGCTGAAAAAGTGAAGCATTACAGCAGCATGTTCTGCTACAACACCAATGCAGAATTCTACTCCCCACTGAAGGATTCAATGGTACGACACTGGGTTATGTGGACCTATATTGTACCAAATGTGCACATTTTGTACACTTCCTAGTGCATTCAAATCAAATGGTCTCTTTTATTTTTTCACACAAGTTTTTCATATGAATTCTCAATTTATAATCAAATTCATTTTTGGAGTCTACAAATAATTATTTGGATGGACTTAGAAATCATGCAGCAGTGTCAAAACAGCAGAGAATTTGCCATAATCCCCATCCTGTGGTAGTTCTTTTATTCTTTAAATCTCTCTCCAAAACCTTAAGAAATTACATTTGTTCTTTTTCAGCTGACAAAAGTTGCTTTTAATTTACAACACTTTGCAATTGGCATGACTCACCAGCTTTCCAACTCTACCATCTGCACATCAATATGAACTCTCAGAAGGATTTCAGCACCATTTCACAGCTACTTGGGATAAGCAGTTTTGCTACTGGCTTACTAGCAAGAGGGTGAAAATGAAGACTTCTATTTTGTGCATGTCCCACAGAAGGAATAATGCTATAAGCATTGCAACATATTGCCAAGTAGTTTGTTTTGACAAAATCCAGTAGAATATCTGGTCCTTTTCACATTAACACAAAATACCTTTGACTGCCACATGGGAAGGTTTTGGATGGCACAGCCAAGACAGGAGCAGCTGTATCTTCAAGGAAAGGCACCTATGAGGGGCTGTGAAGCTGTAGCTTGGAATCTCATGGAATTTTCAGTTCAGGTGTACAACAGACTTTCTCTTCTGAGCATCCTATGCTTCACATTGTATTCCAGCTTGAGTTTCACTCAGAGGAAGAAAACTGACCTCTTATCTGATGCTGGACCTCATAATTTTCCTGGGTCTGATTCTTTGAATATCATCTCCTGTTGCTGATGTTGGTGTAAAACACATCACAGAATCACAGAGCTCAGAGAACAATCTATCTGAGTCCTCTGTTGGGACATTCTTCCCTTGTCTTCACCTCCATATTGAACAGTTTTGAAATAGAAGCTGCACATTTATCCCACTACAATACTCAATTCTAGGTAGCAGAAATGTTGAGAAATGCAGTGGCTTCTGAAAGTAATCTGCTAGCCAAGCACTAACACACAGACAAAGTGTGTTAGTAACTGTGGTGCTGCAATAGTCAGGTTGCTGACAAGAGGGTGCAAAACCACCCCAAGCCAAGCAGTGTTTTAAGTGCTGGTGGGTGCAGACATCCCCCAGGCGGGACTGACATCACCTCCTCCAAGCACCTTCACAGCTGAACTGTAAATTCCTATTAAAACAGCATTTACCTGAGAGCAAGTGTGTAGCAGCCGGGTTGCCTCTGGCTTTCTCTTAGAATGTACGCTCCTTCTACGCCAGCAAGTATCTCATCTGCTTGTTCCCGAGAAATGATCCCATGGAACCTAAGGGAAGATATTAAGGCAATTTTCAGAACAACTGAATCAGAAATGCCTCCCTGCTCTACTCCAGAAACCACTGAAAAGCTTCTGAAATGAGACTGGAGATGCAGCAGGACACAACACTGTTTCACATCTGAACCTGGCAAGTGAGGAGCAAAGAGCAAACAACAGCCAAGTGATCCTCCCAAATCTTTTTCCATTAATATGCCATGTTTTTACAACTTTTCTCCTCTATCAGTCAATGCTTCTCTTCTTTATTTCCTCTGTAGAAGCTTTGTGGGGACAGAATAGAAAAATGCGCAATAATGGCAATATTTTTATTTTAAATGGAGATTATTTCAAAAGAAGAGGTCATTCTTATTACTAGTTTGCTTCAGCTTTTAATACTGCTTCCTTAAATTTGTAGCTGAAACTGAGAAGAAAAATGGCAAGTCACTCAACGTTCTTTTCTGTACATTCTGAAGTAGAAGATATTTCACATCCTTGAGAAAAACACTGTTTTCTTTATTTCAGTCAAGTTCCTCATTCTGCGTAGCAGTACTTCTGTGATTCTTTTGCCATTGTATTTTATGAAAGAAAGAGGCTGTAGGATGCACAATTAACCTTACAGTAATCAATGTTTAGTTGTGATTCTTCTGTAAGTACAAAGTCTTTACAGCAGTTTCAGTCTTAACTCCTACACACATTTTGCTAGCTCATGTTTCCAACGGTCAACTCAAAGGTTTTGAAAGCTTCTATTTTTGCCACTGTCTCTGAAAAATGGCACCAAATTGTACTGACTTGAAGTGTTTTCTCTTTTCTGACAATACATTTGAAGTGGCATATTTCAAACACTGCCTCTGGCATGGTACTGGAAGAGAAGAAAAACACACTGAATGTAAATGCAATTGTTGTCCTATTCTCTTAAGTTGTATTTTCATAACTAATATATGCTGGAAACATTAGATTTTGGTGATTTTACCATAGTAAATTTATGTTCAAAAACACGTAATTTGATTCATACTTTCTTTCTATACTGCTGGGGACACACTCATTTCCTGCTGCACCCAAATCAAAACAAGCATCCTCTAGATGACATATTTTAAGCTTGTTTTTACTAGTAAACCTGTGGCAACTTGTACTAGGTAAAAATAATGAGCACTACCAGAAGCTTATTATAAAATAAAGCAAGCTTTAGTGTAGATAGTAGGAAAAAAACCTCTCCTGGTACTTAATATAAGAAACTTCTGGGACAGTACAATACTACTGGACTACAGGATACCTGGAGCACCTGGGAAATTTCTTTAACCATGGGTGTTAAGCACTGGGTAATCCATGCATTTCTCAAGTGTGTTTTCAGTAAATGTATGTATAAAATATATATATGTATGTGGTGCACGGTACGAGATTGCCTGGACTCAGCCTCCTGTCTGTGACAGCAGCAGACAATAAATGTTCATGGAAGGAGTATGGGAAGCAGTCAAATACTTTCACTTCACATCCCTGTCCATCCATTCATCACTGGTTAAGCCAGAAGTTGTGCCCATCAGCTATGACCTTACCCTTCACGAATCAGAGAGTCACACTTGGAAAAACTTCAATATCACTGTGCTTTTGGCCTCCTAAGCATCCCATGGCAATGAACCTGAGAATAACACTGTGAACTCCCCTACTGGGCATCCACTGGGGAAGGGCTGTTTATCTTCTATATACTGCAGTCCATCACTTTGCTCTGCCTTTCATTGGTTCTACACTCTAAATACAAGTGAAAAGGAATGGGGAGAGGGGGACCACAACTACCTGCACTGATTAAAATGTAGCCACCCTGTAGATTTATACTGTAATATACTTTCATATTTTCTATTTCTTTCCCTAGGAGGCCCTGATCCTCTTTCCAAGTACTACTGAGCACTGAGTCAGTTGCTGGCACAAGGCTGTCCCCAGTGGTTCTGAAATCTTTCTGATTGGTAAGAATGGATGTGATGTCCCTGAGGTGACTTCCTGCCAGCCCCACACACACCCACGGGATGCCAACTTGCATGCACTACATGGATGAAAGGTTGTTGCAATGGTTTTACAAGTCTTGTTTGAGACAGTGTGATGGCTTGCTTAGCTGGATGCTGTCTTCAGCTCTGTTGTACTCTCATTGCTAGATCCAAATTCCCTACTGCCAAAGACAGTATTAAAAAAAATGAAACACAGTAATTAGGGGCAATCTGCGTGGCTCTTGAGCTTCTCAAGAGCAGAGACGGATCGTTAAACACAGATGTGTCTGGGATGGAAGAAAATAAGAACATGAGATCTCAGCAGTTTAGCCAGTGATAAGATGTTAAGCCTCAGCAGATTACTCCAGTAAAGGCCAAATCTAGCATTGCAAGTGGTACTAACCAGGAGACCGCAGTGGCAGCTACAATGGCTTCTCCCTTGCAGCTTTACCTGCTCAAAATTCTTTGCAAATACTGAATCCAGCTCCTTTCAAGTAAGCTATTGACAGGCAGGAAAGCTGTCAAGCTTGAATAAATTATGCTCTACTGGTCCCTTATTTTGCTTACAACAAAAACGCACCAACACTTGGGCCATTTTAGACCTTGTAACTTTACCAGAGTCAGCAGTACTTTGACACGCAGCAGTACGTGTGCACACTTCCATATCCAGGTATGAGTGTTAGGGAGGAGGAAGCATAAGGACACCCTTAAAAAGGCACTGATGGAGGCAAGCTGCCCATCACAGGGCCACTAGCAGGTTAAAACAAAAACAAGAATAAAAGGAAAAAACACTTAAGACAACATCTTTTTTTCCCCAAACTGTCCTGACAAACCTGCAGGCTCTAATAGTGGCACAGATTGTGAGCAGCAGTACTGAACTGTAACATCAATAACACTGATACAGTATTAGGCATTCAAGATACTTAGCTTTGAGTTGAAGCAAAAGGTAAAATAAATTATTTGTCAGAACTCCAGTGTGGTTTTTTGCTGTTGTTTTAATTCTAGAACTACAGCACCCAACAGATACTTAAAAGGATACTTACTCTCTTCCATAATACTTTGGTCTGTTCTCCACCTAGATTTTGAAAGAAAGGAAAAAATGTTTCAAACAGTTTTAGATAAGCAACAAAAAAATAAATTATGCTTGATTATTAATGAGGACTTTTGAGCCCATCTAGGTGCTGAAATTCTGCAGATTCAAAACTGTGACCAGAACATGATGACCAGGACAGAACAGGAAAATAAAATGAGAAGTAGTTTTACTTATGGATTTCTAGAAGAATAGCACCTATCAGAGGTTAAAAAAAAAACAGAACGATATAAAATTGCATAAAATCTGATCAGTTGCATAAAGAATATGTATTAGTATTTTTGCTAGTCTAATACTATAAAATAAGACTATTTTTGTTATACACCCTTTATCTCCTGATAAACTTTTTTTTTTTTTTTTTTTTATAAATTGCAAAAAACCTAAAATTAAAAAAAAAAAAAAAAAAAAAGAGAAGAAAAGAAAAGAAAATAATATTCTTGGGAAAAACAAGGCTTCTGGTTTTAGATGAAGTCCTAAATACCTTGAAGTCTCAAAAACATGCGGGTCTGATCCAAAGTACACTGAGTTTGCTGGAAGGACACCCAATTATTCCAAAGACCTTTGGTCCAAGTCCTAGGAATGCAATGTTTGCTTACAGAAACTTAGGGTAGTCCGATGCTTGCATTTATTCCTCAGGCTCCAATAATTGGTAAGTTCTCTGAAAGCAAACCCCAGCCTTGTTAGCCCCTTATTTCTTTTTCCTTTCTCGCTGAACAGCTTCCCGGTTTCCGGAAGGGCTCTGCAGGTGATGCACGGCCCGGCGCGCAGCAGGCAGAGGCCGGCAGAGGGCACGGCTCCCCCAGCGTTCACCGTGCTCTGAGACCCACCCGATCCACCTGCAATTGGTCCGGGCACCCTCATTTACAGACCCCAGGATGTTCTTGTTTTGATCAAATCTCCTTATTTCGCTCATAAAGACTTTAAATTCATGGAGATCCTTTACTTCTAAATAACAAATGCGTGTCGCTCCTTTTGATTCGATAATCTATACACTGTGCATTAAATTGAAGCAGCTGCCTTTGTACCCTGCAGCCACTAAGGCTCCAATGCAGTGCAAAATGAACGAAAGTCTGTAGAAGATAATGAGAATCTTCAATGGAAGTCCTATGGGAGTTCAATCAAGTCCCGACTGTGTTTCTTCTCCAGCTTGACGTTTCTTTCCCAGCACAGCTCTGACAATAGCACTATCATAGCCTTGAAACTCCTGCCCAGGAATAATACTCTGATCCAAACATTTTGGAGCTTTGAGGCGTAGATTAAAAGCAAAAGGGAAACGAAGAAGAGAAGAAAGACCAAAATCAGAGAACTGCCAAGTGCAGGTTCTGTGTTTCTGTGTGCAAATACAGCAACTCAGAAATAACAGCATATGAATTCAATTTCTTTTTATAAATATTCTTAGTTCACTTCTCATATGACCACTGGAAATTTGAAAGGAGTATTCAGGCTTCATGTAAAAGTCATCCACATCACATAGAAACTAGAGGAGATTAAAGAGGTCTTCATTAAAATTGTTCCTATTCGAACCAGCCTAGCCCTATCTCGGAATGTCATATTTCTGTAAGTAAAAGAACTCAAGAAAAAGCTGTGTTATCTCAGAAAGAGAACGTGGTTGATACTTTCATAGAATCACAGAATCATTTGAGTTGGAAGGGACCTTTAAAACTAATCTAGTCCTACCCTCCTGCAATGAACAGGGACACCTACAGCTATGTGAGGTGCTCAGTGCTCTGTCCAGCCTGACCTAAAACGCCTCCAGGGATGGGGCATCCACCACCTCTCCCAGCAATAAGAATGTTCATTTTGAGTAGCATGACTTGGCTTTATCATCTTGGACCTGGTTCTTATGGACCTGAACGACCCTCCAAAATATATTTTTAGTTGGGAACTTAATTAAAAAATGGATATCAAAACCTGGGTTAGGTTTATGAGAGGACCACATTCAATCCTCTTTATTGTGGAAGAAAAGGCCAATTATCAGTACACTGAAAATGGTGACAAGGAACAAGCAGACAAAGTTTCACTCCTACAGAAAGCCAAATAAAACTTTCACATCACAGAAGGTGAAGTGTGACTTTCATCTTGGATTCAGAATCTGCTTCTTTAAAAAAAAGTGATTTGCCTTTGCCTTGCTTCTATACACAATATATACCTGAATGCTTTCAGTGTACCTCAGAAAGATAAAAAGGTGATTTAGAAGTACTAGCACCTGCCATCAAAACTGCCTGTAAGCACAACTTCCCCCACAAATACAGAAAATATAAGAGAAGTATAAAAGCAATCCATAATCATCCCTGTCAGCAAATGGAGACACATTTTAAATCCCTCTCACAACACCTTTTTATGCAAAATTCCAAATTTGTCTGTGACACTTTTATCATTTAACAAGCAACCAACTGGGATGCCCTGCACACTGAGATTTCCCTTTTTCCTGCTGTTCACATGTTAAAAGATTTGCTTTTCTGAGAATCCACACAAAGCCCATCAAATCCTCTTTCCCTCCCCTCCTCCCTGAAGCAGAATTCCCTGCTTCAACACATTTATAGCATCCATGTGTCTAAAGCAGCCACAGTGTCAGCACTTTGTTTTAGGCAAGGAAGATACTGCAGTGCTTTGTGAAGTGAAGCTGCACATCTGCCTGACCATCCAGGAGCACAAGTGAAAGCTGTGTTGCGCTGGAATTGAGAAACTCTCTTCTGTGCTCACTGCCAACTTTGGCCTGAAATAATCATTAAGCTCCAAAAACCAACTTCTCTGCTAGGAACAAACACAAAGAAACAAAGTTACAGGGAGAGAAAAGATCAAAATGACATCAGGGTCTCTAGATCAAACCCAGAATGTTGGATTGAACTTGGAAATAAACCAAAAGCCAACACAATGGATGGAGCAGAAACTCAAAAGTATCAAAGCAGCCAGTAGTTCTGCTTTGCACTGACGGCAGACTCTGTACAGACTTCAAGGAAAAGCTTGTATCCCAAAAGGCAAAGGTGACTGAATTCAGTTGGGACTAGCTTTTCCTCTCCTACTATAAATGGGCTCATGTGCATGCATACAGAGTCAGACAGATCTGACACGGAGAATCCTTCAAAAAGTGAGGACTGAAAACTCACAGGTAGACAAGTGACTGCTTCCAAGTTGCAGGAGCTCAGAATAATAAACCTTATTCTAAGGACATGAGCACCTAATTGTTTTTATTTATTTTTTAACTGATAAAAGACAACAAAGAATACTTCTATCAATTGCCATTCAGTCCACACAATTTTTTGTTGAAAAAGTGACCACATTTCCCTGGTTGTTTCATACAATGCTTCAACCCTTCTCCTTTAGACATTCAAAATGTGAGGAAATCTGAGGTGTTGAATCAGTTAGGACCCTCACATAGACAGGACAAATAACTTATGGCAAATAATAGGTTTTCACTAGTGAAAGTATATATTTACATTAAAGAACGTTGTAACTTGGTTTTACTACTCCCACATAAAGGACAAACAAAATGAATTCTGTGTCTTCACTAAAAGTGACAGCTTTCAAGTTAAATGTGAGATAGTGATTTTCAGGCTTAGGAAAATGTATCATTGCCAATCTCAAACCCAACAGGCTGTTGCAGAGCAGGCATTTCTTGCCATTGCTCCAGAAATCTGGTGAAAAGCACTGAAAATTAGTACTGAAATGCACAGTTACACGAATTATGAATTATCAGTGAATGTCAAAACTGATCAGGAAATACAAATTATAGTGAAACAGCCTTAAATCCACAATAGTTCATCAGTCCTACAAAACCAGCAACATTCGAAAACATCTAATCTTAAAGCACACTCAAAGACAAATTAAACTCAGGCCCCCAAAGGCATTTATTTGGAAGATCGTTTTGAGAGGCTCTGCACAGTCCATCCTTAGTCCACCCTTGACTCTGAGCCTGCCAAATTCCCCCCTCCTCAGCCTCCAAAAAAGACTCACTCCTACATTTAATCTAGTTTTACAAGTTTTTCACAGTGTTACAGCATATTCTTCAAGGTATGGAATCAGTTGTACTGGAGTTCAACCTCAACAATGAGAAAGAACTATGCCTTCTACATAAAAACACACTAGCTATCTAAGCTAATTCAATATGCTACTTTCACATAATTTTTAAGTTTACTGAATTTTAGTGCTCTGGGATTTGTGGTTTCTCTTTTGGCCACAATGGTTTAGCCCTAGAATGACATACTCTTGCTAATGTACAGATTATTGTATTAAAATCCTACAGCACTCTGCAGATAAGTCATTGCAAAACTACTGGGAATCACACAGGCAGGAGGTGAGTATGCCCTAATGTAATAGATTTTCATTGCAAGCATCTACCAAGCCTCATTGCACTGAAGATTTGAGATACCCTGAAGAGTTCCTAAGTACAATCACAGAAATAAGATAACTCTAATTCAAAAAAATAAAAAATGAATTAATTTCTCTTCAGATTCATTGCACGAGACATATTTCTTTATCCAGTGGCCAACACTGAAGTCAAGAAATGTTTTGATGAAAACTGAGAAATCCCTCTAGGACAGCAATCTGTCTAATTCAGAAAGGCCAGCATGATATAACATCATAGGTCTACCTGTTTCAAACACTGCTTTAATACAACCACAAGGAGGATGTGAAAGGGGAAGGGGAACAATAAGATGCATAGCTTTTTGTTCATCTCCCCATTACACAGAAAGAACAGAGAAACAAGATCCAGGAGTTTAAAATGTCTGTGTGGTCAATCAGTGCAGGCAGTAAGACATTTTCCCAAAGGAATTTTAATCAGATATAGTTTTTGTTTGGAAAAGATCTTATTTATTTTTCAGTAATTCTAGCTGACTAGCCATAAATACGATTTTCAACTCAGCAAGAGAGAAACAGCAGTCTGGAAGAGAAGTCTTCAAAAGAATGGAGACTATATAGAAAATGGAGTTTACTATCCTAATTGTTCAGCTTTTGGCAAAAATGTCATGAGTGAACTGCAAACT